TGATGATGGGAAATGAACCGATTGTAAAATCATTGAAAAATTTCACGCCTAAGGAAATAGTTATTAGGATATTTTACTTAAATTTGTTGATTCCTTTTCTCTTCTTGCATAAGCTTTCTTCCACCACGAATATAATTCTTTGTCTGCCCACTTCTTTTCCTTCTGCTGTTATGAAGTATACCAACTTGACTTGATATGCCAGGTTTCATCCAGGTCGACCTCTGCGTCTGTCTGTCGCTTTCGTTTTCTTATACACAGCTTGAGTTATTGCAATATGTGTAGGCGTTTTGTTTAAAGTTTATTTGACTAGTGAAACCGATGGTTGCAGAAGTTAAGCCGTGTTGCTGTTATATAATAGTCTTAGTATACGTCATCAGTTACTTTAGTTTTATTGTTCCACGAGTTTCATTCTTTGATTGATTTGTTTCTCGTCATGTTAATTTCTCGATGTTGTGCTGATGTCCAACTTGAAGTGATAAGCAACTACAACCAGTGTCATTTTTCCGACATACCTTTGTTTGAAATACGTTAGAAAGTAGGTATTCGTGCTTTGAATTTAAGTTCAGCCAAGTACGCATCTTTTCAAAAACTAGAGTTCTAGTTACTCAACTATCAAGTCAAAACAACTGCCTCTCCTTCATTATTCATAAAAGAAAAGACTGAAGTGATTCTAAAGACAGTAAAAGGATGCTCATGGTAAAATTTTTCAAGCATTTATTTTAGTTAAAAGTCTTCGCTTGAACATTGATACCGAACTTTGTTTTTGCGGCTGTATTCGTCATGGACTGACATAGTTTGAAGAACCATAGAAAACCTGGGAGCACTGGAAAGCTGTTTCTTCCCTGCATAGGACTCCTCAGTGCTATGCACCGACGACTCCACCCCGCCTAGGATCGAACCCAGGACCTCCAGGCTTCATGATCAAAGCATCAACTACTCGAGTTCAGTGGCTGACAGTTTCCTACTTGGCATCTGTTTCACTTCCAAATGGTTGACTACACTGTTCAGGGCTTCTGATTATAACTTCGGGATGTGCATCTCTGAGCATATCACTAAAGAGCACTATTCAGTAATGCGGTATGATTTTTATGAGGACTTTCATGCTAAAAAGAAAACGTTAGACAGTACTCCCAGATTTCTAATCGTTCTCGAATTGATATCAGTCCATGATGAATATAACCGTAAAAATAAAATCACCATAAACTTCATACTATATGAAACTTTATGCTTTCTTTTATTCGCAAATTACAACCATTGCTTATCTAACTGTATTTCCTATCGGTATCACTATTCATCAATTATGGACAACTGGTTCACTGTCATTAATTTTAATATTTTAATGTTCAGTTTACGTAGTTGTTTTGGGTAGTAGAAGCTTCAAATGAATTATGATTTAACATTTTTCTCACTAATGTATACTTATAACTGCCCTGTTTGTTTTACTGGATAAATTGATCAGTTTCTTTTTGGCAAGTGAATTATTTTCAAAACAAAAATTAGCATTCTGTACGTTGACAACACCTTCATAATCCTCAAGGAAGATAAAATGAAAAAAACACGTTCAAATTAATCGCTCAAATATTTAAAGGAATTCAGTTCGCAAAAGCAAAGGAAGCTAGTAAGAAATCTCCTACTTAAATATTTTCATTAGCGAAACAAGCTCAGGTGTACAAGAAGGCCATTAATATCGGTCAAATCTTGAACTACAATAGCAGTCTTTCAACAGTCTAAAAGAAATGTCTACAAAAACTCTGATAAACAGATGAAAAATATTGCAGCACCAAAGCCCTAAGTAAAGCGGCAGCAAAATTCCTGTGGAATGTGTTCACACGCAATGATCATTCTGCCAACTTTTATCAAAAAGTGTTTATCAGCAGAAAAGAGCAATTACCTCAAATCAATAGCCATGTTACTCTACCACACATCAAGAATGTTTCAGAAGCAGTCAACTGATTGCTTCATCTATACGGGTCTGGAGTAGCACATGGAACGACAAAATCACTACAGAGCATGCTATCCAAGCCAAAGAATCTGTCGCCAAAAGAAGATGGGATAAATGCCATGAGCGAAATCAACGCTAATACTGTTTACGGCTGTACATTGGTCACTCTAGCCATCAAACTGACTAGGGAGTTCAAAAATATTGATTAGCAACAAAGCGACATGACACCCCCCCCTTGGTTTCAATACACGTGCACAATCATAGTCACAAATTTGACCACAAGAATGTGAAAATCCTCCAAATAGAGGGTTTAGTAGCTGAATGAGGATTTCTAAAAGCATTTCAAAGGAAAACTAAATAATAGACAAGTGCATATAGGTCTAATTTACGGTTTACTTTGAAAGAAAACTGCCTACCACCAACTAAGAATCAATTTACCAAACAAATCAATAACTAAGCACAGTGCGACGGTAACAAATAACACAATTTCAATCAAATGAAGAATTTCTACCACTATAATCAAATGAAATGTGAGGTCGAAGCGATTTTCATGGTCAACAAAATGTGTAAATTTGTGTAACATTTGGACACACTTCACTTCTTTATGAGGTCAATGCTGAAGATATCAACAATCCTGATAGTGAAACGTCCACGGCAAAATATCAAACATCAGATAGTACCAAACTACTAGTGATTACTCGCTGAGTTCATTCCTTGAAGTTGCTTTGAGTTTGATTTTAATTCTCTTTGCTTGGTGGCATCTAATAATAGGATCCGGGATGCGTATCATATTTTTTAGGAGACCCATTGACTGAGTGTCACAGGCCCTAGTGAATAAAATTTCATTAATTGAGGCTATAAATGGCAAATTCAATCGGCGAATCCGGTTGATGAGTCTCAAATAGGCACACATATGCATCTTACATCCCACTGATAACCAATTTCAAGAAAACAGCATCAACATGTTTGTTATAATCAGAGTAATACCACAATGAAAGATACACAACTTTTTCATCAAATGTAATAGCTTTCAGTCTCCCGACGTTGACTTAACCGGATTCTTAGTTTGACTACTTGAGACGGAAAAGTTTCGGCAGACCGGTACTGATAATGGATGATGACTGAAGGCCAAATATAAATCTGGATCACGTCAGGATCACTCAGAATCATCAACAAGTATCAATAATACAAGTTTGTCAAACCACAACTACCTCAGATAGTCAAAGTGATAATCAATGGTATGCTCTCCTTCTCTAATTCAAGTAGATTTGGATTGGGATGAGCCCTTATCAGGCAGCTGGTGTAAGTAAGATCAAGCGATAGTAAGAAGTCACGAATTCATATAAAAGTCAGGCGAAACCCCCTAATGACTGAATTGAAATAAAAATCTTGTCAACAGTAGGGTCCTGGAGATCACTTGGTAAAGCATCAGGCTGGAAACCCAGTGATTGCTGGTTCGAATCCTTCCGTGTTTCAAAATTTCACCTTCAATCATCACCCAGTATTAACCGTTATCAGTTATTACTGATAGATGGGCTCCCGTGTGGATACACTGGTTCATTTAGTGACGGAAAACTACAATTTTTTGTCGCCAAACTATAGACACTGCACTAGTACAAACCTTAGCAACTCAGTAGCCTAGTGGTCAACGTTTTGGCATTTGAGGCAATGGGTGTTAGGTTTGGATTTTAGTGGAAATATCACTTACTACAAGTGGGCACACTGAGCTAATGAGTTTCGGTAAGGAAACCACGTGCATTCTTGATCTTACTGCTAACTACTAACCTACGTTAATACCAAACTTTTGTTTTGCTTTATGAATTTCGAACTTGGTAGCCTGTTTAAAATTTGGGCTACCAAAAGTTCTCATCACACATATTACACCAAATTACTCTTTTTTATTTGTTTTAAATATACAACTAACAACCCATCCTGTAATGTACTGTTGCGCATTTTTAAAATGCCTCCAACTTAACCTCACGCAAGTTGACAACAAACGTGCAAAAAATACTATAGTAGATGACGGTAGGCTCTTAAGTTCAAAACAGTTCACCACGTAAGTATGACACAGATAGTTAGCTGGAACTGCAAATTTTCATGCTGGTTGAATAATCCCCTACCACCAGCAACCATGCGGGTGTCTTTCTGGTAGTTACCCAGGGCGACAACATATCCATAAACTAAACTATAACCTAAAACTAACTAATCGTTGTGTATTACTGCTTATGTCTTCTGAATGTATAACGTGCTTCCGCACATTGCATGGGGTGTATTTTTACTTGTGTAATCCCGGCGTAGTATACTGGAACAAATACCAAAATGAACAAATATTTTATTTGTTCTAATATACCACACGGGGACTGCACAAGTAAAAATACACCTTATGCGATGAATCATATGAACTTGATGCCCTAGTTTTTTCAAACCATCCAGTCCACTGTTCGTCAGGATACCTTCATACTTCTGCACCTTTCTAAAATGTTTTCAAACTATCTTTACACAAGTTAAGAACGAAACTATGAAGAAAAGTAACATCGGATGCTCTGAAATACAGCACAGCACCATTCTTAGGATACCTACAAAGAATTGCAGATTTTTGTACTGGCTAGTTAAACTACTACCATCATAATTACAATATATTTTGCATTGATCTCCAAGTCTATACCAGATGCTTACGAAACACCGACTACATGTTTCACATCAGTGCCACACTGTATTAAAAACTATTGTTTGGAATAAAGTAATTATTAGTGTTTTAAAACTTGATCGTCTATCTTTTTTGGTAACCTATTCACTTCAAGACTAACTACCTATTTACATAGAACTACCTAAGTTATTCGAAATGAAGTTACTCCTAACCAGCTACTTTTTATAAGGAATTTTCCAAGCCTTTTATTAATTTGTAACATATCTCACATTAACAAATATTGATTTTCATGCACAGCGAAGGATTAAAGTTTACTATAACCTTTACTGAATTATTCGAATCTCTCCTTGAGGGTGAATTTAACATAAATTTATTTATCTTTTCTTTGTTGTTTTTCTGTATCTTATTTAGAGTTGATGCAACTAGCAGAATGAGTGCACATTTGAATAAATTACATCATGGGAAACTTGTAGAATGTAGAGCAGAAAACACTGGTTATGAAATGCATTCACTTCGCCCAGCTCAAACAAAAATTGAAGTACACTGTAAGTACTTTATTTTTGTTTATTTCTAAGGCACTTCTTATCTCTGAATAAAAAAGGAAAACTTTTACCAGGTATTTGAAACGACAAAATTTCTTCTCCAGCGTATTTCATCCATAATTTACAGGGTACTGCCAAGTGTGCACTCAGTTTATGACTTTTAGACCTTTACACTTCATTTCATTTCAGCTTTTCAATGAGACACATCATAACGTATATTCATTGCGCTGCTATTTATGCAAAGATGTTAGTTAGAAGCGGTAAAAAGACGAATAGACTGTGAATTCTTATAACTAGTTCCAAACTCCCAATCAAATACATCTTTCGTTTTATTGTAGTCATGAAGCTTTCTAATCATTTGTGATCTAAGTGGAGAAAAGACTGGAAAAGGCATTTTCTATCTTGTTCTGACGCTCTATTAAAGCATCTTAAAGTAGTTTTTACGCTTTTCACTTGAAGCAATTAATACTGGATTCCAGTCTCAGTGGGAACATCACTCGCTGAAATGCAGGTAGATACCGCCGACGAGTCCCAAATAGGACGAAACACACGTCTAGGATTTCACTGCCATCCACCAAGACAGACATTTTTCACCCTGTTTTTAGTCTCTGGATATATGTTCTCGCTCAAACATTCACTTAGCCCAAACTGATCAGTAAGGGGACTTTTCATTTTCTGAAGATATCACTGTCTAGTTTACCTGTCCTAATAAAAGTATAGGACTGAGTACGCTTCATCCGAATGATCTTGAGCATTTTATATATGGCTAAGTAGTCTAGAAAATAAGTTGCTTATTAAAAGATTCATACCGAGTTGTGTAGATTATCAATAAAATAGTTTGACCCCGATTTTTATAGAATTATTCAATTTTTATTGTTTGTAATACTTTGTTGCTAAGTACGATAAGTTTTATCTTGAATTATGCTGACAGATATTCGACTGAATGTTTCAATGTAACCAACATGAACCTGTGTTTTTGAGTCTAGATTTGGTACGAATTATTAAGTTAAACCTAGAATCTCATGAAGTCACACTATAACATACGAACTTCTAAACAAGAGAAAAGACACTTCATTAAAGAAGAGATTTCCATTTTGACCATATCATTTACTAGGGCTGTATAACCGTATCGATATCGCTGGAAACAAACAACAGTATTTTAGGATAGTATACACTGTGTACTAACATCATCAAGAGAACCATTGAAGAACCTAGTAGCACCGGACAGATATTATATAATACACAGGTTGAGATTGCGATGCTAACATCATACTAAAGTGTAGAATAAAAACACGGACGTTTATGCGGAGAGGAATACTTGGTAATCTAGAAGACGACGAAATTCACGAAAAAGGATAGAATTTAATATGTCAATTTGTTCTAGGTATGAAATATAACAGTTAATTGTCTACCTCAAAGGTAAGAACAAGGCGAAAGCAGAATCTAGACTCATAACCCAAGTGATAATAATGAAAATAGAATTAACAGAGAAAGAGAGTTAAGATAAAAGAAAAATCAGACACTGTGAATGTTTCTCCTACACACGGAGATTGCGCTCGAATTGATTGATTATTAAAACATTCACTTATCAATTTATTTTTTGTATTTAACGATAAACTTTCCTTCCAATTAAAATACTGATATTTTATTAGTTATTTCTGTAGTTGTTAGGGTAGCCTTTAAATTCACTCCTCCACTTTACACAAACGGTGGAATTTTTCGCATTTCAAACCTCATGATTTGACTATGTAAACATGAGTAAAAGGTGACTATGGAAGAGCACTGTGACCAGAACTAATCACATGTTTAAGCATCAAATATTTGGTTTGTATACACCCTAGTGTTTACAGTCAAACACAACACATGGAAATGCGTTTAGAAGTAGCACACTTTATACTTTACACTTTATACACTTTAAATTCGTGTCACTAATCATAGCAGTAACAGACAGTATCCCTGAGGGATTCAACTGCATATTGCTTTTCTGTGGAATTGCATCGCGAACGCTTATCAATTAACTTTCAGAAAATTGAGCTACACCATCTGGTCCTCAGTGCTAACGAAATTTGATTAACCAGGATTCTGTAGAATTATGAAAAGCGTCTATTATGTTGCATCAATAAACAAAAACCTCAGAACTAAGGCTTCCTACATACTATTCTTACTCATCAGTGAAAGTCTACTTCTGCGTTGATTGTTTGAAACTAATCATCACACTGCAGACTTAACTGATTGGATTCTAAGAGCACTGTTTATTACAGAATGAATGATCGTTAACCACGTGTCGACTGAGAAGTACAAAGGGGTATTGCCGACAGTAGGACTTATTCGTTTCAAACTTTACTAGGTGGTACATCATTTCGTCAGAAAAAATCAAGCATCTGGGTTTTTAATACACACAAGTGGTATATTAATCAGCTTCTTGGTCTAGGTTCGACCTTAATATCTTCCAATTGTCACTTAAAGATTATTCAGATAACTACTGTATTATTATATTTTTTCATAACCGTATAGTAAAAACATATCACGCAGCACGAATATCACTATAAGATGATTCTGATCATGATTCTCTCTACGAGATTCATCTAAGAAAATCAATGTAACCTTTTTCATATTTACTTTCACCCTTGTATAGATGCGCCTGTTGTCAGCATACAAGTACGTCCTTCACGACCAGATAATCAATACATGGAACATGATATTATTACCGTTGAATGCAATGCACACGGAAGACCGGATTCCTTTTTTTGGGAGTAAGTGTACTACAGTTATTGATCGTCTTTTGTATAAACTCAAAGATACACAAATGAGTAGCTGTAACCTTATTTTACTCTTCCATTTTAATTTTTTGAAAGGTATTTAGACCACATCCACTTCATCAATGATTTTACACTATGCAGTTAGTTACTATTACCAGTTGTTATACTGAACAGAATTTATCAACCTTAGTTGGCATATGAGTTCCAGTGTAGATGCCTCAATACTGCCTGACTAACTATTAATTGAAGTAACTTAGCTGTGGTTAGCAGCTGAATCCAGAATGCACATTTCATCCCAGTGGCCAAGTGAATAACTCTTTGGCGTTCGCAACGATAGGTTCGAGTCCAGTGGAGACAACATCGCTAATGAATAAGCAATCAAAGCAACATCAGCCTCAGAGAAGCTGAAGCTTCTTGATTAAACTATGCTGTCATTCTCTGTTTCTCTTCTCTTTAAGAATGTCAATAATCTGCTCAATCTAGAACTTGCTGAAGTAGTAGTTTATTTCATGTGATCAAGCATGACGAAATCTTATTGAAAATATAAGGATAGTGATTACACCCAACAGCGAAGTAATGACATACCCATCTTTATGAGGAAACAAAAGTGAATATCACCTTAAGTTTAGGACGGGCTTCTGTTGATTTCACACCCAGTGCGGAGTGAAGAAGGTCGGCTTTGTAGAATGACATAAGTTATCATACCATGATGTTCAACAGTACATAAATTACTTCTAAAACAAGTCGCACATTAGTATTTTTTTCTCTAAAACACTTAGAATAAAATCTTAGAAATGGATTTGCACTGACCTAGGAAGTACCCGTAGTCTGCTTTATTTTATACTTACTCGTAACAACTAGCTAATTAAGTTTCTGTATTTCGGTTGGGGATATGGTTTTTTAATAAAATTGGGAAATTTCATTGGCTGTCTCAGTAGTTGTTAATATGACCTTTAAAGTTATTCCAGCTGGGCTTCAAACTTGAGTTATTCCAAGGACCACCCTAACAGTAAGTGAAATAATTAACTAGATTTTTTTATTGTTTGAAAATATGTTTTTCTAGCCGAAACCTATTTGGCTATTTCAGTCGCCAGAAAGACAGTCTAGTTGCTTCACTTCAGTCACAAATAAAACGGGTTGCAGAATCAAAACAGGATGATGGACCACTTCAAACAAATGTAGTTCATCCTTCCAACATACATCACTAGGGATAACCATTTACAAACTGACTTTAATACTTTTAGATTTTACTGTCGCTACGATCCACCTAAACAGTGCTCCTAAATGGCTGCCTTAAGTAGTAGTGTTCAGTTGCTTTTCGCATTAGTTTTATAATTAGGTGTTGACAATATCGAAGCACTTCAACACTCCTTTCAATGGTTCACTACTTCACTGGGATAAAAGAGTCTTAGTTGCGCTGTATTCTCTGAGCTGGGTTTGATAGTGCAGCTTTATTTGTCTTCCCAGACAGCATTACCAGCACTAACTTCAGTATGAAGCGAGCTGTCAGTATCTCTCCATGAGTGTTTTAGTAGATGGTCTGGAGAGGCGGTTTGGGACTGGTTGCTTCTTTCGATTGTTGTATCACTGACTATATAGATTTTTCTGCTGGCTGTTCTTCTGCTTGACCTCTGATCTTTCTGTCATTTATCACATTCCTCATTGGTTGATAGATTGAATTTATGCCTATATATTCAGTGATTGCTGACTGAACTGAATACCAAGCTTCTAGAAATTCTCTGATACTCTTTGTGTTTCCCCTGTTCAAAACCTCTACATTGTCAAAATTGAATTCACACCCATAGTTGTCCGCGTGCATTGAAAATAACGACGAAATGTCGTGACGCTTAGTAGCCAATAGGTGTTCACGTAAAGAAAGGCGAAAAAGTGGAGGGGCAATTTGTTCATTGTAGCGTTGCAGTGACTTTTTCAGTGATACTTGTTCTGTCGTCTTTCGCTGTTGCGCTCTTTGATCTCTATAACATAGTTTGAAGGGAATTCGATGGTGTATGAGCCACACCAATTCCATATAGTCTCAACATTCTTGTCATAATCTCTGATATTTTCCTTATATACGATAGGATGATCCGTTTTTTGATTTTTATGGATGACCTTATAGTTGGTGGTGAACGGAATAGACATCTTCTGAAGAGGTTTCGTCGGTAACTGTTGACCAAGTAATTTTCTTCGTTTCTCCCTGAAGCTGCTGAATTGCAGTGTGTTCTCGCTGTTTTGAATAAAGTCTGCGTAAAACTAATTTTGTGAGTTGTTGGGTTGTTGCTACTACAGTTATGGATTTCATCAGCATGCGTTGACTCCCTGTGCACGTGAGTTTCCAGTTTCTTGGTATTTGTCTTGCTGACTAAGACATCCAGGAACGTCGGTTGGTTGTTCGACTCCTTCTCCGTTGTGAATTTAACATCACTGAAAACGCTGTTGACTAAACTGTGCCTTTACAGTGCAGTAAAACAAAAGCCCACTAAGAAGAATAAGATGATATCAAGCTGTATCATTTAACACCTGAAATGCTTCACACCACATATTCTAATTATTTTGCCATACTATAAAGAAGGCATATTATTTACGTTGACCGATTTTACCTCTCACAAAACTATCACTTCTCTTGCATTGGAATTGAAATTTCTTCATTCTAGATGGTATGTCAATGGACGTCAAGTTGAAAATATAGCTGAATCATGGTATCGTCTTCGGTTGACACGAGAATTACACCAGGCTGTATTTCGATGTATTGCAATTTCAAGTAAGAAAGGATTTGCAGAGATAACTATTAACGTTAAATGTGAGTTGATTTAAAGCATTACTATGATCGATTAACTTACTGCGTTAATTAATGAAGGTTATGAAATAGTACTCAATTAAATTACTTGGGCTAATAATTTATTATTATTGATTCATTGAAATTAATTCAATGGTTTCCCAGCTGATGTCACTTTGTGATGAATACTACCTTTAAATTAAAATCACCATTCATCTCGAAAATACATTACCGCATAGTGCTCATTGATGACGTGTTTCCAGATGCATATCACGAAGTTCTAATGAGAAGCTGTGACGTGTGTGGTCAACCAGTCAGAAGGGAAGTGGATGTCAACTGAATACCATAGGTGATAGTCTCACTATATCGTGAACTGACAGAAGTTAAAGGCTGTGAATCGCTGGAAACCGACCCAATGGCTGAATGGTTAACGCGTTCGCCATGAAATCTGAAGGTCCTGAGCTCGATCCGTAACCGGATTGTGGGTGCGTGCTGCTGAGGAGTCGCTAATTGGGATGAAACAGCTGTCATGTGCTTTCAGGTTTCCAATGGCTCCTCAAGGGATATCAATCCCTTATGAATACTACCTCTAATGCATTTGTCATTTTCCGAGCTAAAGTTTGCTTCCAACGTACATCTCAGTAAAATGGTTTGATTGAGTTTTGGTATCTATTCACTTGTAGTTAGTCTAGTTTATGACGTAAGCTTTTTGAGCTCATTTAGCGTGGGGAAGTTTGAAATGAAGCAGTTTAAAAAAAATACCAGTTAGAGAGTATACAGCTCATGTCTTCATTCAAACAAGTATGTCATACGTGCCTAAACTTTAGTTTAACATTAAAAGTAATACCCACTTTATCATTTCAACGACCTATAAAGGCCATTTAATACCAATTTATAATGTGCTGAGTGGGAAGAAGCTCTACTGATGTACATATGAGCAATACAAATTAAGTTTTTTTCATTTCACATAGTAAAAGTAAGTGAATGTTTAGCTGTTCAATCTATTTTTGACCATCATTCACTAGTAAATTTAAGGACTATCGCAACTTCAGTATATTTGACGATAGACTTCACTTGCGTGTACACCTGTCACACTAACCATATCGTATAGTTCGCTTCAGTGGTCCAGAAGACTATCCAAAAAGGAGTGTAAAGTGTTCGTATATGGCATTAAACGAAAAATAAGTTTCTGGACTAGTTACTATAATTATCAAATTAATAGATTTAAAAACAACTTCATAACATTACTTATGAGGTTTTACTAACTCAGGTAACAGAGTTAGCGGTTACAATTAGTGTGCGTGATATACTGACCTCAATAGTCACCAGTTCAAATGAATGGTTGATCACTTTTCAGCTACAGATTAACTCAAAAGTATGTTGACAATCTATCGTTTGGTTTTAGAGCTTTGGCAAAACTCATTATAACTCGCATCTAAATTGGGTACTAAACATTTGGAAACCTGTAGTTCGATATTTTAGGTCTAAGTGAATAATTCTACAACATGCCTTTACTTCACTGTCACATACACACACACACATACATACACAACTAGTGTAAAATTTGCTACAGATCATGAGTTTAACACAAGCAACGTATTTTATCGCAGAATATGAGGATTTCAATTTAGTAGAGTAAAATAGGTTTATGAGTACTCACTACTGATTTGTGATGCAAGTGTAACATGTATCGGTTTGTAAACTCACTTGAAGCTTCAGGTTGGCATTCATCATGGACTGACAACAGTTAGGGAAATATTGGAAACTTGCTATTTCGTCCTAGTACAAGAGTCCTCAGCTATGTGTACTCATAACTCTGCCTGGGATAGAACCCCGAACCGTCATGTTCAGCAGTCAGTACGTAACCACTGAGCCACTGGGTTGGCACCTAGTGGTTCACACTTCATACTTCTGTCAGTTCACGATGAAGCGCAACCTTCCTTCAGTGTCGTGGTTGAGTAACTACCCTCATGTCTGCACTATAATATGAATTGTGAAAAGTAGGGAATAAGGACGACTCTATTCGGACCCAGTGGCTCAATGGTAAAGTGCTGGCTGCGGAACCTGAGGGCTCTGGGTTCGATTCTTGGTGGAGCCATAGGTGCACACTGCTAAGGAGTCCCATACTAAGAAGCAGCTATTCAGTACTTTTAGGCTTTTAATGTTTCTCTGACTTTTGTCAGTCCATGATGAATACCAACCTAAAAAGAACAAATTAATTCCCACAAACTTTCAAATGGACCTGAAGTTTGTTGAATATGATACCCGTCCACTAATACATCCAGAACTCCTGTTCAAATGTAGCTAAAAGTTTTGGCCTGTCATGTTAACTTGATTATTTTCTACATACCACTTTGTTCGCATTCGGAAAAAAGCAGATTTCTGGGTAAGTGCAACTCTTCTGCCAACCGTTTTCATTCAATTCAGTTGAAGTATTTCAAAATTAAGGAAATTGTACCTTGTTTATGAGATTATGTATGCAAAACACTATGCTTTAAACAGCAAAATAGCGTGTATTCTATTTTGAGAACTAAAATTGAAGAGCCATTTCATTACGGCTGAATAATTTCAGTAGAAACTTATGCTTTTTGATAAAAATGATGGGTAGTGACGAGCAGTGGGATCTAAAAGGCACGTTTATCTGACTTGAGACTTGCCAGCTGTATGTAGCTGCCTCAGAGGGAGTAATGTTGTTCCAATCGAGACTGGAACCAAGGACCAGTCGCTTCAAACGCCTCAGCGATATTCGCTTGGTTGCTGAGTCATGAAAGCTGCTCCTTGTGAAACAGGTATAGTACAGCTTTGATACTACAGCTTGTAGGTTCCCGTGACTGACGAGTCCAAAATAGGACGGAACGTGCATCCCGGATCCTTCTGTTAGCTTATATACATCATTAATGTAAAAATCAATAATATCGGCTACATGAAGGAACCCGCGTAGCAGCCCATACGACAATAGAAGCCGATTAATTGGATTCGGCCAACGATAAAGATTTAAAAGCTTTGACATCAAAACTAAGTCATACATTTTGACTGAAAGCAATTATCTGATACCTGGAAAAAACAGTAGCATATACACACATCTATATAACATTTCGCTGCATATTTCATAACTGTAGGTAATTTAGGGCAAATTATGACAGGATTTTGATTTGGAAAAGATTTAGATAAGGTAAAAATGCTAGAGACGATATTCAATCTTTTTCTGACGTAATAATTGTAATTTATCCCTTGGGTTCCTAGTGGAACATAGGGCTTCAATAGCACATCCCCGTTCCATTCTGTTCTCTCCAGTCCTTTGAATCTGGCTCCGCAACTGCCCACAAGCTCTCATTTCTTCCTCATACGATCTCTTCCATGTCACCCTCACCTCGGACACCCAACTCCTCGCTTCCCATTTGGATTCCACTCGACGGCCTGGCACGTGCTGTCTCCGAATGCTTTTCTCACTGTATCCCAATCCATCTCCACTTCCTTCTTCATAGTTGTTGGGCGATAGGTTGTTGATTGGTTCGCTGTCAGGCCAGAGTGCCTCGCTGCTTATTCTTATAATTCTGGCTATCTAATCTTTAGTATCAAGCCAGCGTAGGTGGCAGCTGTTGATGAGTGTCTGTAGTTTGTTGGAAGTGCTTTTCGTGACACGCCAAGTCTCTCAACCATCACATAGAAACACTGACTTGACATTGGTGTTGATAATCCGGATCTTGCTCTTTATGCTGAGTTGAGTGCAGTAAATCTCCACACTGATTTCGGATTGATGAAGGCCTGTATTGCTTTTCCGATCCTGGCTTTGACGTTCTCATTTGTGCCTGTGCTGCCTACAGTTGAAACGATGCTGCCTGTCTAGGTAGGTGAAAGAAACAATTTCATTTGGGTTTCTCACATTCATGGTGATTGGTGCTTTTTGTTGTTGTTGTTGGTGGTGGTGGCGGTTGGATATCTTCATCACCTGTCTTCTCTATATTCACTTCAAGTCCTGTTTTCGTTGCCCTTCTCTTCTGCCAACTCGTTAGTTTTTCCTGTAGATCTTCGAGCTTGTGAGACACTGGACATAAATCATCATCACCGGTGAAATCAAAATCTTCTTAGGCTTTTCATCAGTCAAATAGCTTATGGCTGTCTTCTCACTCCTCAAGGGTTTGCTGCATGATCCAGTCGACCACAATCAGGAAGGTCATCGGCGATAGTAGGCAGCCTTGTCCCAGTCCCGTCTTCACTTCAAAGGCCTCAGTGAGCTTTCCATTGTGAATCACTCGGCATTTGGCGTCGTCATATAGCTTTTGAATGAAACTGATAGAGGTTTGTGGTATTCCGTAGTATTCAAACAGCTGCCAAATTACTTCTCGGTCGACGTTATCAAAGGAAGGCCTTTTCAAGGTCGATGAAGTTGAGGTGAGGTAGAGTTGACTGCCATTCTATGCTTTGTTCTATGATGATGTGTAGCGTAGCGTTGCAATTTGGTCCGCACATGATTTGTTTTTCCTGAAGCCAGCTAGCCTGTTCCGGTCGTATTTTTGAATGCAGAGCATTGTTTAGTCTCCTCAGGATGATGTGGCTTAATATTTTGCTCGTAGTTGACAGAGGTACAGCATGATTCCACATCAGTTCTTGCAGAGACTTAGGTCTCCCTTACTTGGTAGTTTTACAGGGTAGTCCTCCTTTCAATCACTGGGCAGGTACCTTTCCTTCCGTCCTTCCAAACCTTCTGCAGTAGTGGTGTTAGCATGTCCGCTGTTGTCTTTACGTCTGTTTTCAGTGCTCCTGGCGGGATTCCATCTGGTCCTGCTGCTTCCCCGGATCTCAGTAACTTTATGACGTTTGGGACTTCACTTCTGCTTTTGTCGGAGGGCCTGTGTTCACTGGCGATTCTGGAGTTACCGGTGGTATTTCTGGACGAGTTGCAGGTGGTGGTTGTGGTGGTCAATTCAAGGCTTTCGAAGTGGTCAGCTTATCGTTTTCTTTGTTTCTCCTGTTCGGCGGTAACTAAGTTTCCTTCACTACCTTTCATTGGTTCCATCTGAGTT